GCGAAGCTTTAAACGTCGATCTTATCGGAGGGTCCTCGTGGATAATAAATTAACCCTCGCACCCGTGTCTCGGGGCAAATATGCCAGAGAACATTACTATATAAACTCGCTGAATGCATTTCGAGCTACCATGTGCTCCCACCCACCGAAACAACCTGACTCGGAAATGACGCACTTATAGCTGGCGAACGACCGCTGTTCATGGTGAATCTGATGTTTCATAGAAAATAAAGGGTAAGCATGGTGACCTGCTGCAGCTTACTCATAGTAATAGTAGTCATAGTAGTAATAGTCTAGTGTCTGACTTAAATCAATGTCGAAATACTGTTGTTTTACTGTAGAGGCATTGTCGCACAGATAAACTTTCCGTATATTTTGAATGAAGACGACCGATACCAGTGTCAACAACACACAACCAGTGTTTTCTGTTTTGACAGGGGGACGGATCGGCCGAATTAAAACCGAAAGTTAGGCATTGTTACCGTACCTTTTCAGGCCGATGCATTATATGTCTAATGGTAATGGGCCGAATTCCTGCACAGTACATGTTTGAAGTCGGATTCAATTAAAAATGGTTAAAGGCATCGCCTCTGCTCTTCTATCAGGGTATAGGCAACCATGTTGATGCATGCCTACTGCATACATAACGGGATGAGGGTTGCTTTATTGGTCACTACTCACAATTTCTTTGGTTTCGGGTATGCGCGAAAATTGGCAAAATATATTGGCAAACAGCTCCAAAACGTTTAAATTTTGCAGCTCGTGTGACCAGTTTCATCCCAGAATGCCTTAGGTCTGGTCACCAAGTCAAGTTGCCCTGCCTATAAAAAATTGTGGTCCTTTAACCGTATAATTCATTTCCTGGAAGCTCGAAATTTTGTGTAGAGCAATTGCAGGACTGCTTGGGTCGGAGCCGGAGTCGGTCGGAGTTGACAGTTTTGGCCAGAGTCAGAGCTAGAGTCGCTGAAATCGTTTCAGGACCTCAGACTTTTAAGTCAGAGTCAGCATTTTCTGGCTTTGAAATCATGCTCTTGTAGCTGGTAAGTTGAAATATATGAAGCTTTTTTTGGCCAGTCGTATACGGCACACGTGGAATTCATGGTTGACGATATAAAAAGAATATTTTCCCATAGGCTTATCATTACGACGTAATGACCTCTAACTGACCTCAGGCCAGTGACATAAAAATGAACTATATGTTATACAACTCGGTAAACTTAGCAGTTAGCACAGCCTGAAAAGTTTGAAGGAAATCAGTCTAAAACTGTGAGCTGGACTGGTGCATAAATAAAATGGAAATTTGACCATGACTTTGTACCGGTTTCGGGTTTCTCTCACCTGGTGACTGACCCAAGGTCACCCGGACCTGAAACTTTTTAGGTGATATGTAAAAAGGCTGCCCCATAGGCTGTGAGCCTGTGCGTCGTATCGACCCCCACCCCCTGCCAGGGCGAGGGTTAATAGCAGGAGATCTGTCCTTGTGAATCTTTCCATTCAAAAGGTTCGGACTAAATTTATACAAAATGAAAAATGCATGCATTTTTCATGCATTTTTCTCTCATATGCATATGAGACTTGAGAGGAAGGTTATTACCTCTTATTATTTTAGATTTTGTTGAAAAAATGCAATGTCTGGTGCCTCACTTGCGGATCCGGGGGGCGGGGGAATTTGCGGTAGATCCCTCCCCCCCCCCCCGCAACGCCATAAATTGAAATGGACCGAAATTTGCGATATTACGACCATAGAACGAAAACTAAACAGCTTTTATTTCTAAAGTTTGTTTAAACTGCATAGCAGCGCACTGCGTAAGGAGTCGAAATCCGATTTTCTTTGAATTTTGAGAAACGTTTTTTGACTTTGTGGTTTGCCCTTCTCCCCCTCCGCAGCGTCCAAGACCACCTCTCTGGATCCGCCAGTGCGGTGCCTCATAGTAGGTAAGATGTGCACCTGTGCAGTGTGCTTTCTACGATTTGGTACCGGGCTGGTACCGGGTCTGATTAGAAAACCGTCGGCTTTAATCTTTCCTAATTTCCGTACTTTTCTAAATAGTGTAGCTTGCTACCAAATAAGTTTGCTGTCAAAATATATGGATAATTTGGTAGAGCATTTTTCATCATCATCGTTTGAAAGGAATGAAAGTAATCGATTCATTCGTTTTTAGTACTTTTTCTAGCAGCACTATATGCTGGGCAGTCAAATGCTGCGCGATAGTTGCGGACGTGAACCATAACAAAGAAGTGTTCTTTTAGAGACGAGAAAGAAATCACGGTTTCCAAACGCTCGATGTCCAGCGTGGTGAAGAATGCTAGTGGTTGTTCCCTAAGCAGCAGCAAACGCTAAAATGAACACTTGCCTTGAAAGATTCCGTAGATTTCTATGTTGAACGTGTTGAAGAATGATATTGGTGTATGTTTAGGTTGCATTTAGGAACCATATTGCACGTTTATTTTTGAATCATAATGCCTATGCTCTCTTTAAAGTGGATGTAATTTTGAAGCTTTATTTTAAAGCTGTATTTGGTCTTGTACTTATTGAAGAAGACCTTGAAGAATATCAGGTACTTGATCATTTGATTTCATGACACACTTTACTTTGTTTTAGGTTATTGTTATAGGGGAAGGTGGGCATAGTTTGGACACCTTTTCTGTAGAGGCTATTTGCTCAGTAACTTTTCAGGTTTGGTGAACTGCAAATAGTGCCCCTGTTGGTCCCATGTGCATCCTTCACAGTGGCGTATCTAGGATTTCTCTCAGGGGGGATCCGCAGTCAAAAGGGCCCTTGACTGACTGGGTTGAAAGGGCCCTTAAGTGGCAAAAGGGCCCTTGAAGCCTGAGTTGAAAGGGCGTTAGCCCGCGCCCCGTATGGGGGGGGGGCGAAACGGCCCCCTGTCCTCTTCCGTAGCTATCTCCTAAATGACTGCAGATATCGCCACCAAACTTTCAGGACCTCTCCGGGCATCCATTTTACACATTGTGACCTTTTTCCAGAGGCTATGATAGGTTGGCCGCAAATACGTCAGAATGACGTCATGTTCTGCCATTTTCGACCCAAAAAATGTTTCGCAGGAAGAGCTATCAGGCCTACAGAGCTGTAGAAACATGAAAATGTTCCGATATAAAAAGTGTACAATTAACAGGCTTAGGTCAAATCTGAGCACAGTTTACAGAAAGAGCGTTAAAAGAGCTTTGTTTGTTTTGTTGGGTTGGACCCAGGCCCTTTCGGCTTTCGGTCTGACGAGACCATTTCAGGGCCGGAGGGATGATAGGAATTGAGGGAGACATTGGTCTGGGCGGGCACCTTGGTGACTCACTGGGGCTGAGCCTGTCCAACAGGACAGGCCGACCAGCCTCCCAAGTGCTCACTGCACCCGGTTACGAGCGTGCTTCCTTTGGAGCTGCAGTGCGCTCCAATGGGAGCCGCCCGCATGGAATAAATTTGCCCGTCCAGGTCCAGCCCGGATCAGGGGTTGCGGCATGGAGGAGAAGGATTTGAATGTCCTGAGGATGGAAACGGCGAAAGGGGTGTTAAAAGAGCTATTAACTACGCTTTTCCCCGGTACTGTAGCTCTATTCATTTCCAAATCATGCGGTGGTTTGTTGAAAATTGTCGAAATTGGACCTGAAGATTGGCGAAATTTAACCTCGGATGACCTCTGTGAACTGAATTTTGAACTGATCTAAAAAGCGACAGGCGTAATTTCGTCATTATTGTTTGCTTGCGTCCCTTCGAACACTGCCTTAGGCGTGTTGGTACGTGGCTCAGAAGCCGAGTTATAGATGCAGGGGTGCGGAGCCGGAGCTGGAGCCGGAGGAGCCGCCGGTGCCGGCAGGCGGCATATTTTGCCTGGAGCCGGAGCCGGAGCCGTGAAACAATATAGCCCGGAGCCCGAGCCGGAGCGGTAAAAAAGGCGGCGACTCCGGCTGTTTTTTTTTAAGAGGAAAACATTATTGACCTAGCTCGGTTTCACAGTACCTGCAAGGCAGTAAAATATGTGGTATTCAAAATAGCCTTGTTATGCAAATACAGAAACAACGTGAACCAATCCTTCATCTTTTCTTTTCCACCCGTATTTATTTGTATAAAGGATGAACTGAGTACTGGAGTCGAAGCCGGAGCCGGAGCCGGAGCCGAAGCCGATTTTTTTCTCCGGAGCCGGAGCCGTCTGAAACTTCCACGCCTCCGCATCCCTGGTTAGAAGGACCCTGGCCGGGGGGGGGGGGGTGGCGGGGGTGCCACCACATCGTTTTTTTGCGACAGCTCGGAACACGTCGGCAGGCAACAGAGAGCCAAAACTGGGCATAGCTACCTGACCTTTGATGCAAACCGGGCCTTGTGACGCCCGCATTTTCACGGAGGGCCTCTGGTCGTCTTAAGGACCCTCTGTTACCCTCAGAGGGACCCTCTGATGGCCTCTGAAGACCATCACTGGCCTCAAAGGGTCCTCTAGTGGCCTCCATGGACCTTCTGGGTACCTGAAAGGTCCCTCTGTTTTCTCTCCAGGGGCCCTTTTTACCTCAAAAGGTTCTCTTTTACTTCAAATGACCGTATGTTGGTCTAATACATGAGGCCCCTAGTGGCCTAAAATACTGCCCTCATATCATCTAAGGTGACCCCCTGTTTGCCTTAGAAAAGAGGTCCCTCCGGGTGCCTGAGAGGCCCTGTTCGTGTCCCAAAGGGTCCTTTGCTGGTCTCATAAGGCCCCTAGTTGACCTAAAAAGTCCTCTGATTGTCCAAGGGCCCTCTGGTCGCCTCAGAGGGCCAGCTTTTTCCTCAGAGTGCCTGATGACCTCATAGAGCCCATAGGGGCCTGACATAGCCTTCATATCACCTCAGAGGGCCCTCTGTTGTAAGGCTCAAGTGGCCTTCTCAGAGGGCTCCGACTGCCCTGTGACTGACAATTGTCCACTCTTATCCCTCTTTTGGGTGACCTTTTCCCCCTCTGACACCCAAGCCAAAATACGATTTTGGGACACTGACTCCGAAGGCCAGTTGATTTTCAGAGGGCCCTCTTTGAGGTGGATGTTAGGGCCCTCTGTTCGCCTCAGAGGGCCCTCTGGTGGATTTAGACTTCAGAGGACCCTATTTTGGCATCAGAGGGCGCCTCTCTGTGGCATCAGAGGGCCCTCGGAGGCCTCAAATGGCCCTATTACATCTCAGAGAGCTGTCTTTGACCTCAGAGGGATCTTTTTTACTTCTTTGTGGTGTCTGAGGGGGCCCTCTGGCCTTTGTTCGCTCAATGAGCCTTAAGGGGTCCTCCGATGACTTCCAAGGACCTTCTTTGATCTCAGAGGGCCTGATGACATCATAGGGCTCATGGTGGTCTGACATAGCCTCATATCACCTCAGAAGGCCCTCCAGTGGCCTCAGAGGGCACTTTGTGACCTTTGAAGGCCCTCCATTCGCCTTAGAGGGCCCTCTTTGATCTCTTTGATCTCTTCGATCTCAGAGGGCCCTTTGTTCACCTCAGAGGGCCCTTTGGTGACCTCCAGGGACCATCTTTGATCTAAGAGGGCCGTCTGGTGGCCTCATAGGGTACCTTGTGGCCTGACATTGACCCTCGTACCTCAGAGGGCCTTCTGTTCGTCTTAAGGGGCCCTCTACTGGTCTTAGAGGGCCCTTTGTGTGCCTGGGAGGCCCCCCTCAGTACCTGAGAGGGCCCTCTGTGTGTTTGAGAGGGCCCTCTGTGTGCCTGAAAGGGTCCTCTGTGTACCTGAGACGGCCCTCTGTTTGCCTGAAAGGGTCCTCTGTGTGCCTGAAAGGGCCCTCTGTGTACCTGAGAGGGCCCTCTGTTTGCCTGCGAGGGCCCTCTGTTTGCCTGCGAGGGCCCTCTGTGTGCCTGAGAGGGCCCTATGTGTGCCTGAGAGGCCCTCTGTGTGCCTGAGAGGGCCCTCTGTGTACCTGAGACGGCCCTCTGTTTTCCTGAAAGGACCCTCTGTGTGTCTCAGAGAACCCTCTGTGTGCCTGAGTGAGCCCTATGTGTGCCTGAGAGGGCCCTCTGTGAGCCTGAGAGGGCCCTCTGTGAGCCTGAGAGGGCCCTCTGTGTGCCTGAGAGGGCCCTCTGTAAGCCTGAGAGGACCCTCTGTGTGCCTGAAAGGGCCCTCTGTGTACCTGAGAGGGCCCTCTGTGTGCCTGAGAGGGCCCTCTGTGAGCCTGAGAGGGCCCTCTGTGTGCCTGAAAGGGCCCTCTGTTTACCTGAGAGGGCCCTCTGTTTGCCTGAGAGGGCCCTCTGTGTGTCTAAGAGGACCCTCTGTGTACCTGAGAGCGCCCTCTATGTGCCTGAAAGGGCCCTCTGTGTACCTGAGAGGGCCATCTGTTTGCCTGCGAGGGCCCTCTGTGTGCCTGAGAAGGCCCTATGTGTGCCTGAGAGGGCCCTCTGTGTGCCTGAGAGGACCCTCTGTGTGCCTGAGAGGGCCCTCTGTGAGCCTGAGAGAGACCTCTATGTACCTGAGAGGGCCCTCTGTGTGCCTGAGAGGGCCCTCTGTGTGCCTGAGAGGGCCCTATGTGTGCCTGAGAGGGCCCTCTGTGAGCCTGAGAGGGCCCTCTGTGTGCCTGAGAGGGCCCTCTGTGTACCTGAGAGGGCCCTCTGTGTGCCTGAGAGGGCCCTCTGTGTGCCTTGAAGGGCCCTCTGTGAGTCTCAGAGGACCGTCTGTGTGAGAGGGCCCTTTGTGTGTCTCAGAGGGCCTTTGTGTGCCTGAGAGGGGCCTCTGTGTGCCTGAGAGGGCCCTCTGTGTGCCTGAAAGGGCCCTCTGTGTACCTGAGAGGGCCCTCTGTATACTTCACAAGGTCCCTCATTGGCCTAAATGTGTCCTCTAATAATCCTCAAAAGAGTTCTACAATACTTTTTCTTTTAGCGAATAAAATGGGAAGTGGTCAAAAGGGCCCTTGAAGTCATTTCAATTTTTTCCGTGTTATAAAAAAAACTTATTCTAGGCTCCAGGGGGGATCCTAGGACCCCCAGGGTCCCCCCTTGGATACGCCACTGATCCTTCATAATTAGCAGGAAATAAAGGAGTTCAAGTTGGCTTGAAATGTGAAAGTTGAAGTAGGAGATGTGTAAATTTTGGGTCAGATGTCCAAAATACCCCACACATGAGGAATCCCCACAGTCTGTCTGAAGCTGCCCCATCATCTGCCTGACTTCAACCCACCCGTGGGTTGAAACCCAAAGAGTTTCGCGCTATGGGTGCAAAATGACCTTGTAGTCGGCGTGCCCTTAAGCCCAATAAACAAACAAACAGCCAAACAGTCGCAGTCTAAGAGGTACTGAATACTATGATCACATGTTTAATATTACATCGCCTTTTTCAAAAGGAAAACAATGCACCTTGTGTTCAAGCGCCCTTGGAACCTGACCGCTGTATGGCGCCAAGTGTTGGCCTACTGAGCGTGACAAAACACCCCGCTGCTGCTGCTGCTATCTTAAATTTTTACTTGCCTTGACTTGACTATCCTGCCGTCCGAAACATACCCACTCTCTCCTAGGGCATGCTGTCCTCTTTTTCATTGGATTTAGATTAAACTTATTTCAAGTTGGCTTCCATGTCATTCAATATGCTGAATATGTGTACTGCCTTTTACTGAAAAAGAGTTGATAAATGTATCATGGAAATTGGAATTCATAGTGTTTATTTTTGAACTTATATTACATTGGCTTATGCCTTCTTAAATCTACTGAATCGAATGGGTGAAAGATGCCTTTTGTATCCTGGGCTCAAAGATTTTGTGATAGGTAATTTATGAGCAGAAATACCAAAACCTAATCTAACGTGATGTATTAAACAGGTAGTTATAGCCACAAACTGCATAGGTAAATGTTGTGGTCTTGTGTCAAAGTTTCTTAAATCATCCTTTTGTACCAAAATTTCTTTGTCAACCCATATGCTGAATACATTCATCTGTGCCTTGGTTCTTTTAGTGGAAGTGCTTTAGCTCATTAACTGCAAGTGTGTTCTCACTTCTAGTTAGTTTATCTGATGTGGTAGGACAGCAGCCCTGGCCTGTCTTATTGAAAATTTCTGACCAATTGTGCAAGAGAATCTGGATAAGATGGAGCTGACCTTGATTGACTCATGAAATGATTTTTAGCATCCCGCAGAAGGCTTTTAGTCAGATCAGTGTGGGAACACTAGATAATCTAATGGGATGCCTATGTGGGATGCCTGACCACATCAGGGAGTGTGTCAGACTCATGCATGAATATATAAATCAAGTAGGTACCTACTTTACATTGTGTGCTGCATTCAATCAGAGTTAATTACAAATTGGTGTGATGTGAAGAGTGACATCTTTTTATGCCTACCTGGCTTTAAATCTAGGTATCCCATGTTTACAGATGTAAGCTCATATAGACAAAATGTCAGCTGAAGATTCAGATGAGTTCCCAGGCAGGCTGCTCCACCAGGTAAGCTTCTATGGATGTACCTACTCTGCCAAGCAGCTGGAAGCCTAATAGTCTGGTTGTGTCATTCTCTACATTGCTCTTGCCATTCTACTATTATTTAAGTTCCATAGTATTTTTTTTCATACTCATGAATTCATCTTATTCAGTTTTTATCATGCCTGTCAATAATTTAATATGCCCAACCAGTCCATCTTTGGCATCATTTCATTCACAGCGTGGCAAATCACCATACCAAAATGCTGGCTGGCGGCCACCAGCCAGCAGCGGCATCCCATGTATATGCACTCTAGCCTCGTTTCCTCCGCCACCTGTCCGCAGGCGGCGCTGTGGGACAATGCCGAGCTTCTGGAGGACCTCCTGGCCAGTGAGGAGATCGCGCACATTGGCTCCCGCGACTCGTGGGGCCGCACACCTCTGCACGCGGCCGCCACCACCTACAGCTCGCGGTGTCTCCGGGTGCTGCTTCAGTCGGGCGGTGAGCGGGCGATTCAGACCTTTTTAACCCTCGCCCGCACATGGGGGGGGGGGGGGGGGGTTGCCACCCCCCCAGGTAGTCTTTCTGCTCTGCACTCAACATTTTTAGAGATAGAAAGCTGATTTTTCGTATAGCTGCTCGTCTATCCTTTCTTGATGTTCGCTGAAAATTTCAAGTTTCTGTGATTTTTGGTTTCGGAGATATGACCTTGTTTTTCAGGTCATGTCATGACCCAAATGGCCAATTCTCAACATCTTGCGTTTGCCATGGGCCTTGTGAGGTTTTGGCACCCTGATTTCGGCCTTTTTTGCCAGTCTTACCTCCCACCTATCATGGAACATGTTGTTCGACAATGAGCAGGGGTCAAGGTCAGGGTCAAGGTCAACCTAGGTCATCTAAGATAATTGCGTTTTAGGCAAGCTGAATTTACTTTTTGTGAAGTTTTTTTATTGCATTTTTGGTAAAAGCTTCTCAGATCATGATTTCATGTAATATGGACCCTAAAACAATCGGTGCACACATCAGTATACACACAGACACACACAGACATACAAACACATATAATTGACCTTGACCTAACTTGACCTGAAATGACCTCAGCAGCAAAATTCTGGTCGGGTAGTGTGACAAAGAGGTTCTAGCTGGCTTGGCACCAGAAAACAGCATCGTCATCGGTATTTGATAAGCAGCGCACTTGATATCCAGCGGTGACCCAAAACAGCAACATTTTTTAGTTTGAACTGACCTGGAAGGTCAATGACTGACCTGAGAAGGTAAAACTGGGTATCATTGGATTCGTCTCTTCCCAAAGAATCTTTTTGGTCATTACCGCTAAGCTCTATCTCCAACAGGAACAAAATGGCGCGGGGGGGGGTGGCAACCCCCCCCCCCCATGTGCGTTCTAGGATGGGAAAATGGCATGTGCGGGCGAGGGTTAAGGGATATATAACTATATTCATCAGCATATCATAACATGACACGTTCGTGGTGACACTCGATGCTACGCTTCATCTCCCTGGACATGAAACGATCGTGGAGGGGCGATTCAGGCTGGAGGAATCCTCCAGCTTCCAGCCAGTGGCCACCCGGCGGCCATTGACTGGAGGGATGGGGCAGATTACATACCTACATATATGCCTAATAGAAACGAAATAAATTCTTCCGTGTTGACATTGTTCGACTATACTACGGACATTGTGTTGATGTTTGGGAAGTTTGTTTCTGTACTGCTCACGCGGTCTAACACACGGCCCTAAAGTAATCATTAATGGTTTCAACCCTCCGGTGCAGTCTGCATGTGGCACGTTCATGCATGTCCAGCCTGTCCAGTTGCCGCCGGTCGGTGGCCGGACGTATCGACCCGCTCCCGCCCCCGCCCCCGCCGCCCCCGCCGCCGCCGCCACCGCCCCCGCCACCGCCGCGACACAGTGTGCGCGGGCTATCGCCACACCTTCCCAACACAACGCAATATCGAGGTTATTGTCTGGCGAACCCCGCCCGTTCGATCGCAGATGTATGTTAGACGTGGTTCCGGCTTATTCATCATAATATGAATGGATGAGTGTTGTGTATGTACGTATAGCTATATGCCATATGATCTGTATCTCCTCAATCCCCTCTTACGGTTATTTTTTTTTTCAAACTGCTTTTGTTCGAGTTTTTAACAACAATAATTTTTGCTGGTTTTGAATGACAGTGTAATACGGGACCCGAATTAAACCAGCCAGGTCATTAGCCTGACGTGACCTAACTGACCTGTCACCTGTGACCTGACTGTCCTTCAGCGACCTGACGCTGCCGGACGTGACCTGACCTTGGGTTTCGTTTGTTCCAGCGGACCCGGATGTTCCCTGCGGACCACGGGGAGAGTACAGGGTGAGTGAGACGGAGAGAGAGATAAATCTGTAAGGCGGAGATAGCGAGCTAGACAGGAGAGACAGGAACCAGGGTGGTGATCGTGGGCTCAGTGAATCGGGTCCGGGAGTGGATGGGGGAATTATCCGGCCGGAATAATAACTTCCTTTCGTCATGTCGTCGGTGGTTGATTATCAAAGCTACAGAAGCGTGTCCCGGGCCCGTCTTCAGGTCGCCAGAGCCAAAGCCCTAAATGCCAGAGCAGTGTTTCCAGAACGAACTGATAAAAATCAGCGGCGTATTTTCAGCTGTGACATCGGCGGCATTTTATTACGTTACCGGTGTTTCTGCCGGGGCGCTGCTCTGCCCCCCCCCCCCCCGATTGGATCCCTACCGCCCCGAAATCAGCGAACGATGAACAGCGAACACCTGGGCCGCGGTTAGCGCCGATAAGCGATAAGCGTCTGCTGGCCTCACACCTCGGCGAGAGGACGTTTGAGGCTGTCTAGAATCAATATGCCCAGCCAAGCTTACCTGAATTATAATGCAATTGAATTTAGCAATTTAGCGTGTTCGGATGGTGCAATCGAATTCAGGGATTTACGAATTCGCTGGCTTTTGAATAGTACGTTTTATGAATATTTACTAAGTTCTAGCCTTATCGAAAAATAATTAATAGCTCAATTTTGTTTATAATGGAAATGAAGTTCCTTAATACCAAACCGAACCCGACTGTCACGGGGTGACAAGGCCGCGTTTTTCAGCAAGCATAGTCGGGTTCCATTGCTGACCCCTATATTCATTGCTGAGTCAGGCGAATGATTGACACCAATTTTGTCTGAGCTATTAAACCCCTAATTCATGAAGCCAGTACAATTATTTAACCCTGTATCAACTCATTGGGTCTTGATGCCATACGAATGTCCTGGCGGCGCTTAGAAGTTATTTGCTGGTCGCTGTTATAAGGTTGTGGACTGTGGTTGTAGCCGTGGTTGTAGCGGCCTGACTGCTGCGCTGTCCAGCTCGCAGAGAAAGGCGCGCTTCCAGTCGTGTTTATTGACACGAATCGAGTCTGGTCGTGTGGTCTAGCTGACGTCACCTAAAACCACAAACCACCAGTTTCTCCATTTACTACCACCTAGCGGTCGCTGACTGCAGGCCAGCCTCGGCCCGCCGCCGTCAGGTGTCAGTAGTGTGCCGTGTGTCCCGCAGACTGCGCTGCACCTCGCCGCCGAGCACGGGCACCTGGATAATGTGCGCCTGGTGCTGGAGAGCGGCGCCGACCTGCTGCTCAAAGACCACTGCGGCCTGACAGCCATGGACCTGGCCGAGCGGGGAGACCACACCGACTGTATGCAGCTGCTGCGAGAGACGGCAGGTCAGTCCCGTGGGACAGAGCCTGCGCGGGCGGGCGGGGGGGGGGGGGGGGAGGACCACACCGACTGTATGCAGCTGCTCCGCGAGACGGCAGGTCAGTCCCCTGTGGGACAGAGCCTGGGCGGACGGGGGGGGGGGGGACCACACCGACTGTATGCAGCTGCTCCGGGAGACGGCAGGTAAGTCCCGTGGGACAGAATCGGAGCCTGGGCGAACGGGGGAGGGAACCATACCTACTGTATGCAGCTGCTCCGGGAGACGGTAGGTCACTCCCAAACCCCACAGTCCAGCACCCCTCAGACCTCATACAGGTCAGTCTAACACCCCATAGTCACCAGTCACAGAGATACGAAGTTCTGTACAGCTCACACAGAGACCGACAGGTCGGTCCCACAGTCCACAGCTCACTGTTGGGACCGTCAGGTCAGTCCTACATGTCGAGGTCCCCTAAGAGACCAGCAGATTAACCCTTTGTACAGGACCAGGCGCAGTGGGCTGATCATATCGACTTTGTGAACCTTCTGTGCAAGATGGCGGATCAGCCTTATATATGAATATGTAACAGGTCACATACGGACCTCCCTGAGACTGAGGAGCAGCCCAGGATTGTCAGATGGTAGACAATGTTAACCTGGAACTCTAGACACGTAAGGACCGCTATGATAATGAAAATTCAGTACCACAGACCCCGGTTCCACACAAAGTTCGTAAAACGACAAATCCATTTGATTAGTCTGGTCACATTCAAAAGTCCCGAGACGACAGGTCACTTTTCACCATACCTGCACACAGGCCACTTAACATTTTTATGGAATAGGCTTGCGCATGTGTGTGTGTGTGTGGGGGGGAGTGGGGTGATGGGGAGACGTACAGTATCTATGGCAACCACGCACGATTATACTCTTGTATCAGCTCCGATCTTGCTCCAATTAAAACACCACATTGACTGGCGACAACCCCATCAGCAACCCATACCCCCAATGATGATATGACCTCCCTGAGTCTGCGGGGCGGGGCAGCCCATGCATGTCAGGTGGTAGACATGCTCACCCATGATATTACTCCCCTGGTGGTTGGAAGTTCGGAACTCCTGCTGACTGCGTAGATCGCAGTCGTTTCGTAGTCTACTTTTATTTCAGACGAGAACCCTTTGTCAGGAGGCCGGACTGCCGATTTGGGTAGCCTGCAGTCGACTGGCCGGGGATTTAGGAGATTAGTGGACCGCGGAGGTTGACAGATGTATATGACATGCACATGATGCTCCTTTTGAACTAGATTTATGAGATTCAGCAGCATCGATGCTTAAATACCACAACATTGCCTTTAATTAGGTTATGGGTGCACAATGGGCAAAACGGTAAATGGATTAGTGCGAGGAGGTCAGACATACAAGTTTGAGACTTCCACAATCTCATTTTTTTGTGGTATGCGCTGTTCGCTGCGTTTATGGAGAGATTTACTGAGCTCAAAGTCGCGAAGCAACAGCTCTGTCTGTTTGTGCAAGCCACGTAATCAGATTAAATGAATGGTATGTGTGACGACGGCATAGAAGCAATTCGTCATGTATCTGAGGCCTGTCACGCTGCCACGTTACTGTCAGATTTTAGCGTCAAGGATGTCATGTTACGAAATGCTTCCCCGGTTATTGACACTCATGTCAGACCTACATATTTGGTCTGAAATCCATAATGATTTATTGCGTATTGCTGCACTGAGGGCGAATCATCTCTCACTGAAATAGCCCGTTCAGCCTAAACAAAGTCTTTCTCCTTGTTCGATGCAAAGTTGCAAGCAAAATCCTTTATCGTGTCTTGCTTGCGGTCTCTGCAGTTTCGTGTCTATCTGGGACTTGTGGCTGTCATGCTCAATCTGCTGTATGCAGTGCCTGAATCGAATACCTCAGAACTCCCATTCGCACAGGCTCGCAGCGAGGGGCCATTCCTTTGCCGCACGGTCTATGTGCTGCTCGGTTAGACATTTCAGGTAGTGTTGGGTGAATACCTGTGGTCGGAGGCCGTGGCTGGTGAGGAAATCTTCTGTGGCTCCCTTTATTCAGTAATTGTGAATGGTGAGCGGTGACACTGGACCCGGCGACTTGTTCGTATCAGATGGTGGGAATGCCTTTAAAGCCGTTTGGAATCAAACAGCTGTTTTCGGCCTTGCCCTGATTGCAAAAAGATCATAGGTCAGACTGGCATCAGTTCCGGTAGATGTTTCCGTATGGATAACAAAGAGTTTTAAGGATGTCTCTAAGCGGTATGTCTGATTTTGTCACATGTTGCGTCATCTCCGTCTGGCACTTATCAAAATTATCGCTATCTCTTCCCATTCATATCTGTATATGCCTTCGATAAAAGCCCTGCTCTATCTAAGCGTCTGTCCTGTCCTGTTATTTGTTCATCCGATCTTTCGTGGTGCTCCCGGTGGATGTGTTTTCCGTGTTCAAAACCAGTGTTACGCGAGAGCTGCTGCCTGCCACCGCCATCCGCTCGAAGTGCAGCTATTTCACTCCTCGTGGACCGGCTATGGGTACAAGATTGAGCCGGTCTCGCTCCGGCAGGCGTCCCTGTAAGTAAGCGTCCTGTAAGCGACGTCCTTTATGGTCTCTGTAAGCGTTAGCGCCCTGTAAAATCCAATCTTTGTGCTGTGTATGTATCTGTGTTTTTTTTTTTTCAGTTTTAGTGCCTCATATTGATCAGCGTCAATGGTAAAACGATATTGCGATAGGTTAACCCTCGCCCGCACATGCCATTTTCCCATCCTAGAACGCACATGGGGGGGGGGGGGGGTTGCCACCCCCCGCGCCATTTCGTTCCTGTTGGAGATAGAGCTTAGCGGTAAAGACCAAAAAGATTCTTTGGGAAGAGACGAATCCAATGATACGCAGTTTTACCTTCTCAGGTCAGTCATTGACCTTCCAGGTCAGGTCAAACTAAAAAATGTTGCTGTTTTGGGGTCACCGTTTGATATCAAGTGCGCTGCTTATCATATACCGATGACGATGCCGTTTTCTGGTGCCAAGCCAGCTAGAACCTCTTTCTCACACTACCCGACCAGGTTTTTGCTGCTGAGGTCATTTCAGGTCAAGTTAGGTCAAGGTCAATTATATGTGTTTGTATGTCTGTGTGTGTCTGTGTGTATACTGATGTGTGCACCGATTGTTTATGTGTCCATATTACATGAAATCAGGATCTGAGAAGCTTTTACCAAAAATGCAGTCAAAAAACTTCACAAAAAGTAAATTCCGCTTGCCTAAAACGTAATTATCTTAGATGACCTAGGTTGACCTTGACCTTGACCTTGACATCTGTACATCGTCGAACAACATGTTCCATGATAGGTGGGAGGTAAGACTGGTAAAAAAGGCCGAAATCAAGGTGTCAAAAGCTCACAAGGCCCATAGCCAACGCAAGATGTCGAGAATTGGCCATTTGGGTCATGACATGACCTGAAAAACAAGGTCATATCTCCGAAACCAAAAGTCACAGAAACCTGAAATTTTCAGTGGACATCAAGAAAGGATAGAGGAGCAGCTATACGAAAAATCAGCCTTCTAGCGCTAAAAATGTTGAGTGCAGAGCAGAAAGACTACCTGGGGGGGGGGGGGGGGGTGGCAACCACCCCCCCTGTGCGGGCGAGGGTTAAATTGTAGCATTGGCGCTTGCATTGCCTTAGTGGTCGGCGGTCGCTGGTCGCGTATATGATTTAGGACAATCGTCCTTTGCAAGAGAAGCAGATCTCGTGATGTGTTCATGTAACATTTTCCATAGGCACTATGCATAGATCATTTCGTTCTTGTATCTTGTATTTCTTGTATTTTCATAAATCACCAACAGGCTTACGCCCAATGACAGGTGAAGTCACACGCACACGCATACATCAACATGCATAAATACCCCCCCCCCCCACACACACAAACCACTTCTTTGCATCCGACAGAGGCCGACTGTCACATAACGCACGCCAGTGTTGACGCATACGCCGATGCCTCTCGCTTGAGTCGCCCGATCGAGTCAAAGAAAATATCTGACCTAGGCGAGAACTCAAGAAACTGATTGACGCAGCGAGGGATGCGCACAAAAAGCCCTCCTGATATGGTGTTCACCCTGGCGAACGGCACATCAATTAATGGTGTGTTTCTGGTCGGCCTCGCGGATATATGGAGCTTAAAAGACCCAAGTAAATATGATGATGAGATGAAGCCTTTAAAAACCTTGCATAAAAACAGAACATCACACTTTGCGCGTCGTGCTCCTAAGTGTGGCACACGAAATGATGACAATAGGTCCGAGTACTTGAGCGACGAATTACAATTCGTGGTGCGACAAGCCAGCCACATCAAAAACTTGTGTTGCACCCTCTCCACACGAACGAGATGAGATTTGGCCACTCCGCCCCATATCACTGAACAGTACTCGACCACAGATCGAACATTGGCGTAATAAGCCGCCAACACGGCCTGCCTGTCCAGCTTACACTTGGGGGAAGCCGACTGGAACGTTCGAATGAGGAGCCCGAGCGCTCTATTAGCCCTTGTGACCACTGAATGCACGTGATCGGCGAAATCTAGCTTTTGATCAAGAATGATGCCTAAATCTCGGATCGATGTGACATTTTCCAAAATAGTGCCATTGATCGAATATGTCGAGTCAATGGGGCTACGTTTAAGTGTGATTTTAAATGACTTGCATTTGGAGGCATTTAGCTTCAATTTCCAGTCGGCCGCCCAGCGAGTCACTGCGTTCAAGTCACGCTGGAGCGTCTTAACATCATCATCGGACCTAACCTCGTGAAGCAACTTCAGATCGTCAGCAAACAGCAAACAGTTGGTGGAAATAACAGTTGGCAGGTCATTCACATAGAGAGAGAGAACAGCAACGGAGAGATGTGACCCCCTTCCGGTGTTCCAGACACAACCGGAACCCACTCGGACACTTTCCCGTTCAACACAACGCGTTGTTTGCGCCTCTCCAAGTAGGACCTCAACCACTGCAGAGCGTTGCCGTCAACGCCGTACATCCTTTCGAGCTTATGCAGTAGCTCGTTGATCTCGATCGTTGATTTCGATCAAGATCATTTCGTTAGATCATTTCG